TATAAAAATTGTGTAAACTGTTTTGCGGTTTACTCAAAAAAAAAAACTGTGTCTTTCAATTTTAGATTTGCTTTCATCCAATGAAAGACTCACCGATGTTCACTATTTGGGGTTGGATGATTTGAAACCACAGTTAAGACTTGCTCCTTGCAATTGCGACCACTCAGAAAATGTTTGTGTTGGTACATGAAAATAATTAAATACACCAGTGTCAATAATAATGGAAGACTTAGGTCGAATTTACAAAGCACACATAAATGCAACAACTGCAACTATCAAAGCAGATACAGAAGGAATGTGGTGTTTTACATACTGCGGCGGCACTCTATAACCATCAAGAGAAGCAGACTATAATAGACAAAGATGAATCTTTATTTCGATTGAGTTTAACAAAGTATAAGATAATGCCATATAAAATGTGTATAAATTGATTAGATAATTAAAGATTGAACCCTCACTCGGAAACAGGTAAACCCATTGGTGAAACAAGATTTATTAGAATGCTTATTAGATTGCTTTAGACCAAAATTATTTTGAATTTAATGAACAGATTCACATCTCTAAGGAAAGTTTGATTATGGGAAACCCACTTATTCCTTTGTTAGCCGAGATTTTTATGGATAATTTGGAAAATATCATACTAGAACATCCTTTAAGTCAAAGTTTTCTATGGTGGTATATATACCTGGATGATGTCTTTGCTTGCTTTGTCGGAACGGACAGACAATTGAATTCTTTTTATCGAATTTGAACAGGATAACACTATTAATTTTTTAGACTTAAGTATTACGAAACACGCAAAACAAATTAAATTTTTCCGATTACCGTAAACCTTCACACACGCACACAGTAATACATAACAGCTCAAATCATCCTTATACACACCAAAATTCTGCATTTCTTAATATGCCACTCTCAACAGAAAATTACAACAAAGAACTTAATGTCATTAAACGAATTGCACTGAACAACGGCTTCAATCCGTCCATTATCGATAAAATTATAAACAAAAAACAAATCCAGACAACTGTAAATTCTATTTATCCGAAACCTAATACAGAACACGAACAATTTGAAACAATAGGAGAACCCAGTGAAAAAGTATTAAAACATTTGTCAAAAGGTGATTTAAATATAGCTTTCAGAACTAGCAACACAATAGGAAAATTTTTAAAAAACAATAAAACGAAGTGTCCATAATCTCAAAAATCAGGTATCTACAGGTTAAAATGTGGATCATGTCCTAAAATTAATATTGGACAAACAGGTAGATCCTTCAAGAAACGCATTAACGAACATAAAAGAGCGTTTAAAAACAATAGTCTAGATTATAATTATGCTACACACTTAAACACAGAAAAACACATTTTTGACGACAATTTTGATATTTTACATAGTCACAAAAAGTAGAAAATTAAATTTATTGGAAACCATGGAGGTTAACAAAATGAGATATTAAAATGTATAACTTAACGATCAATTAGATTTAAATACCTCTCCATTATTAAACTTAAATTGTCACAACATCAATTAAGGTTTTATTTGTTTGTTCGTAAATATTACATTTGATAAAGACACGGTGTGTCGAAACAATTGTCATGTGAATATATATAATTTCGCGAAAATCTGAATTTTTAGTTATTTATTTTTTTTAGATAATTAAGGCATAAGCTCGTAGGCATTCCAATTTAGATATTCATCTATAGTATAAAAAGCATTTTTGGTTAAATTATTTTTAAGTACACTTTTTAAGGCACTACGTTTTTGTATTTTCTTATCCTCAGTTAGGGTTATAGAGTTTAACTGGTAGAACTATCGGGCTATACGCCATCTTAGCCTGCCTGTGCCTAGGCATCAGCAAGTTTAAATTGACTCTAAAATCATATCGATTGAACTGAGGTGACTTTTACTTGATGAAAATCCATTTATCAAAATAAATGAAAACTAAAAGTTCGGATTTTCACGAAATTATATATTATGACATTACAATTGTTTCGACAACACCGTGTCTTTATCAAATGTCTCACAACTTTTAGTTCTTATTTATTTTGAATCATATTGACCGTTTCTGGTCTCAGTAATCTGATATATTATTTTTTATATGCATAATCGAAGCTAAAATATGTATAGACGGAAACGTTAATAAATTTAGTTTAGGAAATAGTGATTTGCAATTCTCAGCATTGTCTTTTCATTCTAGAGTGACTATTATACTCTAGAATGCATAAAAATGCAGATCAGGTGTTTACATATAACTGCATTTGAAACAACATTCGCGTGCGAACGAGAAAAAAATCAATAACAACTGCATTACCGACAACACTCGCTAGTACACAAAAACGCAGCCTAGCGGCACACTCACAAAGTCTGTCGTTCGTTAAAAGATTCAAATGCGATTCCTGTAGTTACCGCTGCACTGTAAAGGCAGCATTCAATAGACACAATAGGCACAAGAAAATGGACGAGGTTAATCTATACAGTGCACTTATTTCTCAAAACAAAAAGCTGGTATTTTACGTATAGCTCTGATTTAGTAAAAGTTATCGTTTCAAACCAAAAGTATTTCAGAAATCTGTCATTAGAGGGCACTTTACCTAAAACATTTTTTTTATTTTCCCTGTATTTTATTTATGTAGACTGACATTGCAACACAGAACAGATTGTCTTAAGCAGAATCACAAATCCTCAAAAATTGTTACTCTTGCTTTAAGTCGATAAGTGTTATCATTATGTTCAATTGTCTGAGTGGAGCGCCATCTTGCATTAAGTACATGTTTTGTCTCCACTGCAAGGATACCTCTTTCAGCAAAGGAGAAATTGAAATACATTTTATTAAGCGATCCGTTAAAAAAATTACAATTATCTCCTATAATCCCTGCCCATTTAAAGAAAACCGGCGCTGATATTTTCTTTCAATTTTTGTATGTGAACTATGTGACATTTGCTGATCACTTATTGAACATGAAATGGCCGAAGATCATATTCATGGAAAACTTCCCAAACTGTAGAGCAAGCAATTCTTCCCTGAGCAGCAAGTTTTCTCGTACTGGTCGCCGGGCCAGCCTTCACATTTTGAAGTATTCTTGCTTCTCTTGCAGCGGTTCTCTTATACCTTGATCTCATTTTATTCATATTATCAGGTTTTTTTCGCCAAGTCTGTGTATATTGATGAATGTTTTAGCAAATGGAACATTTCTATTAGGATAAACCTCGATATAAATCCGTCGTGCTTGATCTTCATTTCTATTTGCTCTTCCTTAGTAAAAATGCCTTTCGCGATATTCATTCTTTAAATATCACAGCAGCAGTTGGATAATAAGCTATTTTAATAGAAACTAATTTTTAGCGGATTGTGACAATGACTTTTTCAAATTGCATGAAGTCCTGTTAGGTAAAATCACATTTCCAGGTAAAATTTGAGCCGAGAATATAAAAGACTATTTGTGGTTAAACGATAAAACTTATCGACTTAAAACAGGAGTAACAATTTTTGAGGATTTTTGATTCTGCTTAAGGCAATCTGTTCTATTTTGTATTATCAATATCAAATAAATAAAATATAGGGAAAATATAAAAATGTTCTAGGTAAAGTGCCCTCTAGTCACAGATATATGAAACACTTTTATTTTGTAACGATGACTTTTACTAAATCACGGCTGTACGTAAAATACCAGCTGTGTTGTGTTAGTAATAAATACACAAAATCTGAATCTACGAAATGCTTTAAAATGTGGTTATTTACGTACGTTCGTTATTTAAAATAGCTTTATTATCAGCAAGAAACTTAAAGTTTCGCCAGAGTTGAACGTTTTTGATTTCTATTCTCAGTTACTGTTTTCCCTATTTTAATGACAATTTTTAATGTCACTTTTCTATGTTGCTGGTAAATAGTTGTGACATTAAGAAGTTTTAAGGCTTTCTGATCAGATTCGTTCTTGCACTAAACTATCGTCACATTTCCCTTAACAGCTCTAGTTACTAAGATGTTAATTTTCTTGTTGAAGAAATTAGTTTTCCTTGTTGCTACTTTAAAGGTTGACAGTTCATTATTCTCATTTGTTCTATGCGTTGAAATTGTTTAGGTGGTTCGTTCCAAATGTATGACAGTGTTGTAGCTATAATTATATTCTGTTTTTTCTTTATATATTCCAAGTTACATTTCTCACTCCGACGCAGATTGTGAGGTTCACGCACCATTTATCTTCTGTTGATGAACTTGAGACTTGATTTCTAATACCTTTTGTGTAGCTCCATCTATCGGCGAATCTAGATATCAATGTACTGTTTGTAACCTAACCTTATGAGCATAAGGGTTTTCTCTGTAAAATATGTTTTGCCGGTTTCTTTCCAATAAAAAAGTGTTTCTTTTCAATTTTAGATTCGGTTTCATCCAACGAGCGACTCGACGATGTACACAATTCGGGGTCGGATGATTTGAAACCACAGTTAAAACTAGCCGCTTCTAATTGCGACCCCTCTGAAAATTGGTTACTATTAGTGCTCAAAAATAAGTGTAACAGTGAGAAAAACATTAAGTCGAACTTACAATCAGTGGTGCATAAAAATGCGGACGGGGTGTCTCTATATAAGTGCAATAACTGCGTGTATCAAAGTAAAGACAGAAAAAATTTTTCGTCTCACGTACAACGGCGGCACTCTTTGACCAGCAAGAGAAGATTCAAGTGCGACTTATGCGACTACCGATGCGCTTATAAAGCAGACTATAAAAGTCACTATAGAATACATCAAAATCCAGACGAGGTCCGTCTATATAACTGCAACAATTGCGATTTTCAAACAAAATTCAAATCGAACTTGACGGAACACGAGCTGCGGCGACATACATTCATCAAAAGATTCAAGTGCGAATTGTGTGATTTTCGATGCGTTATTAAATCCGATTTGAACAAACACTCTTTAATCCATAAAAATGCAGACGAAGTGCCTTCGTATAAATGTGTCAATTGCGATTATCAAACTAAGTTATATCAAAAGTTCTAACCAGATTTACCACTTGTCCAAAAATCTCTTAACATTTTCGATCCGTCAAAGACAAAATTCCATTTGAGATGCCCAGAGTTTACAACATTCCATGCATATGGGGAATACATTGGAGAGACCGGACGAAAAACTAGGTTCAAAGAACATGAAAAAACCTTAAGACTAAGACAAATAAACTCATCATCAGTTGCCGAACACCATCACGAAACCGGTCATAAAATTTTATTCGATAAAACTAAAATTCTTGCATGTAATCAATTCTTCTACTAACGAAAAATCCCAGAGTCTATATAAATCTATAAGCAACTTAACAATCTTAACCGACTCTCAGATCTCTACCTGTCACAATATAAAAGCAGGTACTGAGTAAAATGCGAGCCAGTTTCAGTCAAGCTCTGAAGAAGCCAACAGGATGATTGTCGAAACGTTAGCTAATTCGACTCAACAAAAACCGGCGCAGGAGGAATCCAGAAGTTTTATCAAAAGTAAATGTCTATTATCATTATTCTAATCATTAAACTATAGTAATAATTCAGTAGATGAGATCATTCGCAGATATATAAGTATAGAAGATTCTAATGTGTTAAAAAATATGCGATAATTACACAAGTCTACAAAATTAAACTTTTTTTCCTATATTTCCAAAATAATTAACTTTTTTATTCAGTGAAAAAAAAGTTAGGAAAATTGTTGCAATAGTCCTTCCTGAGTAAAATATTGACATGTCTTTTTCGGGATCCCGGTAAAAGCTTGATGTGGCGCCAGGTGCCAGTAAATGCTTGTCACAAGGTCTGGACGCTAATAGCTCGGATGCATCCTCTGAAATCTGATGTGAAATCTGAGTCATCTGGGTCGAAATTAGATTCCTCTGATTCTGACGATATGACGTTTTCTAGTTCTTTTGGTGCGGTTGGTATCGGTACATCTGGTCCATGGTCGAATAGCAAAGTCAAGATTGGGATACACAATTTGTTTCTTATTTTTTATGTTGAATCATCACTGTGATCGTAAGCTTAAAAATTTCTTCCTTATTACCAAAATAAGCGTGGCATACTTTTTTCACAAAAGAAGTTATAGTTTGCCCATGGTTTACTACGACATAACTATCACACATATAACAAAAGTTATTTGAATTGTTCACACATTGTCTTCTTTCCATATTTATACGTTCTATACACTAGAAATGCGCAATAACGAAGACAACAGCCGCGAACACAGTAGAACCACGACCAATAGAACCAAACTGCGCATAACCAGGTTACAATGCTGTATTGGCGCTTCCGCGCCAACTCTTTTGCTTTCCAGAGAAATGTAATATTATCTAGTATTGCTAAATCACATTTAATTTCCTAAAAATCAATTCATTTACAAATCATGCCTAACATGAAAAAAACATATTCATGTCATAAGTATAACATTTTTAAGATATTGAGCGCTTTAAAAAAATGACGCGATAGAGCAAAAATATGTTTTTTTTTAGAAAAAGGACCCCCCAAAAATATATAAATAAGCAAACAGCTTTCACACTTCAAATTCGCTGTAGACCTTAGTCGCACCAGGAAACCTTGCGTTAAGGTGTGACGGGGGGCTTAAAGAAGACGCGTTTCACGTCATATAGGAACGTTGTTCTGTTATTGAAGTTGTTTTAAGATGTTAACAAATGTATTACACTGTTATATCCTCTGATCTTCATCTTCTATTGTAGCTATAATTATATCATACTTATATTAGGAGTTGTTTAATGGTAGGGGTAGGTTTTCCTTCATATATTCTAAGTTAAATTTGTCACACTGTCGCAGTATGGTAAAATTCATATCATTTCTTCCATAAATTCACTTGAGACTTGAATGACCTAGAGCTGATAAGGGAAAATACATACAAATAATCACATCCCTGAGAGACAAAACTAAAATCATACTACTATTGACAACGCACACACTACCAATAACTTAAACAAAGTATATTATTTATATTGATGGCATCTTCACGATTCAGCGTTCATCCTTTCTACCTGAAAATCGTCCTATTGGTTGCAGCCCTTTGTTAATTCTTGGAAGTGATTTATTCCAGATCAGTGACGGTCTTTTCCGTGGCAAGCTATTTTCTTCTTCTTTATAACCTTTTTCTTTCCCATTACCTCTGGAGAACGTTCTCGTTTCTAACTCAGGACAATACTGACGACCAAGTTTTTGTTGGTGAGACATTTTTGAAGTTTTGCAAATGTTTTAGCTTATCTGGGAAATTTTTAAATTTGCGGGTCCGGTCGATGTCTTCTCCATTTAAGTGTACTCGGGATATTGTTTCTGCTAACAACTATAAACTTGGTTTCTTTAGGTTAGAACGTCGGTTCTCTTCATGAGTTCGTAGGTTATTCGCATTATCTCCTAGCATGACGGTGACGCGGCTTATGAATTACATTATACGAAATTGAACAATTAGGAAAATATCTTTAATTGTGCATCTGATGTGTTTACGTTTTCCTGCGCATATACCAATGTTTTCAGTATTTTAAGACTTTTTGGTTGCAGACAAATTGTAGTAATTATTGTTGGATCATATAAGCTCTTTACAAAATGGAACGGATATTCTATATGAAACATATCTTTGCGAAATGTTTTGCGGTTTGCTTTGGAATAAAAAGTTGTTCTCTCTTTCAATTTTAGATTCACTTTCTGACGACGTGAGGCCTCACGATGTGCACGATTCGGCAAAACTGACGCGCGACTTGTGCGACTATCGATGCACTACCAGGTCCAAGTTAAAAAGACATTCTGTTGCGCATAAAACTGCGCACGAGGTGTCTTTATACCAGTGCAACAACTGCGATTACCAAAGTAAATACAAAAGAAACTTGGTACAGCACATACAGCGGCGTCACTCGGCCATCGGCGAGCGAAGATTCAAGTGCGACTCTTGCGATTATCGGTGCATTAATAACTCCGATTTGAAAAAACACCGCGTAGTGCACGAAAGCGGGAGAAGGTTGACCTGCAATTTGCGTTATCGGTCCGTCTCCGTCACGTCCAAGCTGGAGAATCATTTCGTAGTACGCAAAAGCGCGGACGACGCCCCCTTAAAATGCGACAGATGCGATTATCATAGCAAATACAAAAGCAATATGGTGAAGCACATAAAACGACACTCGGCCATTCGCGAGAAAAAATTTATGTGCGACATCTGTGATTACCGATGTGTCACCAAACTGGACTTGAACAAACACTCCATATTGCACGAGCATCCAGACAAATTGAAATTATATTATAAATGCGACAGTTGCGATTTCCTCACCAAATACAAAGACAGCTTTTTGACGCACACGAAGCGCCACCTGGTGAGCGTCGGCGAGAAAACCTTCAACTGCGACTTATGCGATTACCGATGCGTTGCCGAGTCCGCTTTGAAAAGGCACTCCGTATCACATAAAAATCCGGAGGATGTGACTTTGTACAAGTGCGACAGTTGCGATTTTCGAACCAAGTACAGAAAAAACTTCCTGTCGCACACGAAACGATACTCGAGTACCGGAGAGGCAGGGTTCAAGTGCGGTTTGTGTGAATATCGGTGCGATATTAAATGCGAATTAAAGAAACACTGCGTGGTGCACCAAAGTGTGAACGAGGAGTCCCTATATAAGTGCAACTCCTGCGATTATCAGACCAAGTACAAAGGGAGTTTGGTGGCGCACTCGAAGCGGCACTCCGCCACCAGCGAGAAAAGATTAAAGTGCGATCTGTGCGACTATCGGTGCTTTATTAAGTCCGAATTGCAGAAACACTCTATTGTGCATAAAAACGCGGACGAGGTGCCCCTGTACAAGTGCGACAACTGCGACTATCAAACTAAGTACCGCGGAAGTTTTTTGTTGCACTCGAAACGACACTCGGGGAACGGCGGAAAAACGTTCAAGTGCGATTTGTGCGAGTATCGCTGTTTTACGAAGTCGGATTTGAAAAAGCACACTCTAGTGCACAAAAAGCCCGAAGAAGTGCCTTCATACAAATGCGACAATTGCTATTTTCAGACCAAATATAAACACAGCATATTGAAACACATCAGGCGGCATGGCAGCGAAGGGACATAGTTATACAACACGCAATTGTGGTTAGTCAAAATTTCTTCTTCTTCGGTGTCATGTACTATGCCGCACGTGTTTCTTATGTTCCAAATAATGTTCCATCGATTTTCCCCTGCATTATCAACCTAGGTATAGAGTATTGAGGCCCCCTTAATATATATCCTAGATATGATACTTTGCGTTGTTTTGCGGTATTCATTAATTGCCCGTCTACTCCAGCTCTTCTTAGGACTTCGCCGTTTGTTGCACGATCCGTCCAGAGTATTCGGCGGAGTGTCCACATTTCAAATGCCTCGATTCTGTTTATTGTTTTCACCTTAAGTGACCAAGTCTCATACATCGGACTGAATTACCCGTATCCTGGTGTATATTTCTATGCAGGAGTAAATTCTTAAGTTTAAAGAACATTGTTTTTGCTCTGCCAATTCTTCTTTTAACTTGTTCATCGCAATGCCACACCTCATTGAGGGAGGCGCCAAGATAAGTAAAATTTGCGACCCGTTCCATATTCGCTCCATTGATGTTAAGCACCATCATTTTGGCTTTTGCGACGTTGATATGGAGCACAAACTGTTCACCGCACTCGTTTAGTTTATTTAGCAGAATCTGGAGGTCTTCAAGATTGTTAGCCAGAATTGTGATGTCATCTTCATAGCGAATGAGAAGCTGCCAATACAGTTATCCTCATATCAAATCATTATACAATTTATTTTCGTAGAATTTCACAAGCGGTTTAGAGCACGATATTATTTAATAGATGTTGTAAAATGGAAAACCGCGGTTTTTTGAAGAGAAGTTCCGATTTTGAGCCCATTTATCGTAAAATCGTAAAAATTTTAGTAGTTTTTTAGAAATCTTACAGACGTCGCATCATTACAGCGATAATTAATAAACATTATTAACAATTAAGTAGAAAGAGATATGAATTATTGTGGATATTTGAAATGGTATAATTATACAGGATGTTTCAAAACAAATGCGAAACATTTAATGAGATGATTCCTTATATAAAATAAAGGGTAGTTAATTGTATATAAAGGTTGGGACAAAAGTCAACCATTAGAAGGAAATATCATGCTACAAATATGGCGGAAAAATAATGTTTCTTTTTTTTTACCTTAAAAACGAAAATAGAGGAATATTATGAAAGTATTATTATTATAAAAACCCGCTTGCTGCATATCTTAATTTTGTTGATAAGCGGATGAAATTGAATTTCCCTTATCAGTAAGTCAATTTAAAGAAAAACCAAGGCAATGATATGGAAAAAATTACTTCCACGGAAGGGTTTATTGGAAACTTTGTGTCCTGCAATTTTGTCATAAAACGGTTTCCATATTTATAAAAAAATTAAATGTCAAAAAAAATGTTTACCAGATTTTGTACTTCTTCGATATCCCGCATTGGGGTAGTCTTGACTAATTCTTATACTTAGATATCGCTAGATGCAATAACCCAAAGGATTTAAGTCCGAATATCGAGGCGGCCAATGGTAAGGTCCACCACTTCTAGCGGTTTTCTGTGGCACCATGCTGCAAGTAATACAGAAATATTTTATAGTTAATGACGTAGACTCACCAGTATATGTTATTGAGGGTAGAAAATGTGTGTATTATTTACAGGGAAGTTTGACATAACAATTATACAGGATGTTTCAAAACAAATGCGAATCACTTAATGAGGTGATTCCTTTTTTAAAATAAACGGTACTTTATTATATAAACGTTGGGACAAAAAAAAACAAAAATAAAGGAATACAATATTACGAAAATATTATTATTATAAAAACCCGCTTTCCGAATTTTTTTTTTTTAATGAGCGGATGGAATTGAATTAGACTGCCTTATCGGTCAGTAAATGTAAATAAAGCAATGTAAGTAAGGCAATGACATGGAAAAAATTACTTTCACTTAAACTTTTTTGTGTCCTGCAATTTTGTCATAAAACAGTTTCCATATAAAAAAATTAAATGTCAAAAAAAAATGTTTCGTACATCTTCAATATCCTGCTTTGGGGTAGTTTTGACTTACCTTACTTAAACTTAGATATCCCTAGATACAATAACCTAAAGGATTCAAATCCGGATATTGAGGCGGCCAATGGTAAGGTCCACCAGTTTTCTGTGGCACCATGCTTCTAGTTAACAGACATTTTCTAGGCAATGACGTAGACTTACCAGTAAATCGTATTGAGGGTAGAAAATGTGGCCCAATGAAATGATCACAAATCGGACATCTGGTACCGTTTTTGTATGTACCTAAATTTTTAGCGACTTGCCTAAAAATTTCTCTCTTTCAATTCTAGATTCGGTTTCATTTGGCGTGAATCCAGACGGCTTAAGCGATTCGTGGTCGGATGATTTGAAATCACTGTCAAAACCAGATGCTTCCGATTCCGACAAAATGACGTTATACAAGTGGCGACGGCGAAAAACGATTCAAGTGCGGCTTGTGTGGCCATCGATACAATATCAGCTCCCATTTGAAGAAACATTCTTTAGTGCACAAAAGGGGCGACGAGGTGCATCTGTATAAGTGCAACTACTGCGATCAACAAACCAAATACAAAACCAGTTTGTTGAGGCATATTAAACGGCGACATTTGATTCAAGATTCAAGTGCGATTTATGCAATTACCGGTGCTTTAGTAAATTTGAATTCAGGAGACACTCCTCGGTGCACAAACATTCGGACGAGGTGACTCTATATAAGTGCGACCATTGCAATTGAAAGGGACCTTGTTAATGCACAAGAAACGGCTGCACTTGGGCATCGGCGAAAAAAAATTTAAGTGCGACGTGTGCGATTATCGTTGCATTGCCAAAGGAAATTTGACGAAACACAGTGTAGTGCACAAAAGGCCCGAGAAAGGGCCTCTTTATAAGTGCAATTGGTGCGATTTTCAAAGTAAATACAGAGGAACCTTCCTGGACCACTCGAGACGACACTTAATCGTCAGTCAGAAAAGATTCAAATGCGACACCTGTGATTATCGCTACAATCACAAATCCGAATTGAATAGGCATCTTGCGGTGTACAAAAGTACCGACGGAATGCCTTTATATTTGTGCAAAGAAGGGCAACGGCATTTGGTCCCAGAAAAGAAAAAAATGCAATGCACCTCCTGTGATTATCATTGTACTAGTAAATCAGTTTTGAAAAAAACACTTTATAGTGCACAACAATCTCCAAGAAGTACCTGTTTATAAATTCCATTTTAAAAGTACATATAAAGGCAATTTGTTGACGCACATGAAAGGGCACAAAAACTTTCTCGAACATAAAAAATCCCAAGTAATTAACCCCAACGATATGGCTGTTCCGAAGGTAACAACGGCTTTACGCTTGTGACATTCAACACGTGGAATTTGCTGCTAAATTTCTATATGTAATAATTAACAGACACGTTTTTATCGTTGGTGTTATTTACCTAGGAAGGAAATCAGTCTGCTGCTGCATTGAGGTCGCTTTTAGTTTTATCTCCTTATGAGGCAACTGTGAAAACAATTTTGAGAAGGTCCATTTAACTTGGGAGTACGCGACGTTTAAAATCTTGTTTTCAACCGATGACACCTGTAATTGTAAATTCTGGCTTTCGACCAATAATATCTTGCGGCATTCAACAACCAACATGGCGGCTAACAGACCGTCAATAAGTGTGGATGCGGCATTTTTACAGAAGTATTTCCTCAAAAAATTGAAAAAATATTTTAATTTCGTGAAAGAGCAAAATATTGTCCTATAAAACCACTTTAAATTTTTTTAAATTAATTTAGAGATAATCAAAATTCCGACATTGTTATTACTCAGTCCGTTTGAGGGTGCCGCATGCGCGATTCCCATCCAAAGGTTCGAGAATATAGCCCCCTGCGGCGTATAAATTTTTACCATAGTGGGGCCACAATTAGCTTGCACCTTATTGTTATTTCTGTAGAAGGATAAAATATTTTAGCTTTATAATGCTGTTATTTTGTCTTTTAATGCAATACATTGCTCTGAAAATGTTAGTTTCTATATCATGGAACAACGCAACTTGAACAAATCTGGATTGAGAAATAAGTACCTAACTGTGGTGTATTTGGCAAACCGCGGGCCGACCAAAAAGTTAGTCTCATCCGGTGTGTCCAAGAGGCAACAACGTTTTCAGGTGCGGTACCGTGGTAAAATAAAGAAGCTTTATCTTTGTGATATTCTTTCGAAAACCCAGTCCGCCGACATATCACTAACATATTCACATTTATTATTTAATATCTCTGTGAGGTAATCTCGTGAATATTATTAAGATTGAATAAAGTAAAATATTAACAAATTAATTGATTTTTTGAAATACTAGTTAATTTAAATAATTTTATCACATTTTTTGCTATTCAGTACTAATACAACATATAACATTATTTCATAAAACTTCGATACAGCTTGATAAAATCAGCAATAATTCTTGCTATGGTCGGTTATGGGCGGTTGGTCCGCATGGCGTTGCCCAAATTTGTAACTTTAAAGCAAAGGCTTCAAAGTATGTAGCTGATTGACTCTAGCAGAGGGCGCTGATAGGGGTCATAATTGTTTGATGTCAAACGAGAGTTCCAAAACAAGATATTGTCGTTTTCATTTGAGATATTTTGATTGTTCGGTGTATAGTTCGGTTTAAAACGGGGTTTTCTCGCATTTTTTAAATTATGGAGATGGAGATAGCGAATGAAATAAAATCGGACATATGTGATAACTACACGGAAGAAACAGAGTCAAAACCAAGTACTTCGATCTACTTGGAGGACGTTAATGGCATTAAACAAGAGCCTTGGGACGATGTGTGAGTATTGAGACAATCAAAATTCATTAGGACAACTTTACGTGGACCTCGTATGTTTACAGCAAAAATGAAATCAAGGAAGAAATAATTGATCCCTCCTACTTGGAAGCGGAAATCGTTAAAGAAGAGGTCTCAGTTAAAGAGGAATTAGTATCCCGGTCGCCAGAAAATCTTGGTAAGTACACATATTTCGTTGATGAAGTGCTGAATTTGTTGCCTGGAGGTGAACTTCTTGTAAACCATTTTTGTCAGATTTGATAAGGGAGTGCTGTAATAATATACTTTAAGCTGTTGCTATTTGTTGTTTTTTTGCTATTGATTTATTAATTTATTAATTAATTTTGGAAAGCAAAAAGTATGCAAAAAAAGTTCATCTAGCTGTGTCAATTTAATTAGAGAAAAGAAAAGCCGTAAGCTTCATAGTACAAAATGACAACCCCTCTTCATAATGTCTAAGTTATTTTAAATTATTTTTTGTAACTATTAGCTGCCAAGTTTTGAAAATAGGGAAACAGTGAAATAAACAAAACAATTATTGCAGAAGATTTTTTGTGTGTTGTATTTTGAGTAAATGCAAAAAAATCACATGACAAAGGTGTAATCAAGTAGAAATTTCTTTTCCAGTTGACAAGCTAAAGCAACCATTACATGAATGGAAAACTACTGGTCTTCCCACATTTCTTGGAAACAGATTGGCTCTGATCATATAGCTATTAGATAATATAGTGGCCCTAGTAGGGTAAAAATTGATATGTCACAGGCTGCATACACCATTCAACGAGATCTAGGTGTAGATTGAGAAAATTCTGCATTCAAACTTACTGACAGTCTGACGGAGTTGGTTGTTGAATGCCCCAAGGTCATCATCACTTTCTATGTTATCAGCATGACAGAGCCTCTATATGTCTAATAGCTAAATGGGTTGAGATTATAATATGTATGAAATTGATTATTTTATAATGAAGACTTGCCTGTACTTCATTTTTGTAACTGTATTTGGAAGTGTAACAATATTTAATTTTATTAATTCAGAGGAGGCTACAAAAATATGAGATAAATGAATCAAGGTAAGTATCGCTATTTATAGGGAAGTTCACTTCACATTTTACTATCTCTAGCTGTAATAGTTTACTACTATTCCTAGTGGTTTCATTATAATGTCACTTATCGTTTTCAATTAAAGCAGGAAAATCACTACAAATTAACAGGATATAATATGTAAGGTTACCTTAATCAACATAAATTATTGCTGTATTAAAGCTATCATTAGCCTATTATTTATGAGAACTGAGGTTAGCATGTTTGAGATGTTCTAGATACTAAATACTGTCCTTGTAGGAAACTGTTTATTTACTGAATAAAACCCAAGTCACTCTTCTAAGAGGCACAAAGATCGCAATTCATTTATTGCGGCACACTTCCACTTTTATACTTCACCCATAAGTTCAGCGCTCATATGACGTGGGTTAATTTAAGGGGAGTATGTTCTTCAGATTCTGAAGCTCTAAAAAGTCAGCCCGTGGTTTTGCACACCCTGGACTCATCTTCCTCAGAAAGGCTGATTGTGTGCACTAGCAGTAGGTACACAATATGTGTGATTGTGGACTTCTATGATTTCTTGAAATCGAAGTAATTCAACTTACTTGACATTACCATTTTGGATGAAATTGAGAACTGTACTAGTGAAAGTTAGATACATTTAGTGACTATGACACCATTTGGATGCACGGCCCGAGCTAACCTGACCGTCCTTAGACAAATTACTGTTTTTTTTTTTTCAGAGTGAAATTAATATTTGCAGAATAAATAAAAAATACATTTTTAAAATGTTTTGGGATAGTTTTGGTTAGTTTTGGTTAGTTTCAATCAATGTACCGATTGGCTAATCGAAAGTAGTTGTGCTAAAGACATGGATGAAAAAAAATTATGACACTAAAACGTTCAAGAGTAGATGCTGAAAACGATTTTTAACTCTCTACGATGTCGGCAAGTTGCGCAACACCGATTCTGGAATTTTAAATCCCTTTTTTTGAGAAATAATCCTTTTTTGAAAAATAGTTTTTTTGGTTTAGGTTGCTTCTATTGATGCTATACTCAATTTACCAAATGCCAAAATTATATTTAAAATGTCAAAAGTAATTAATACCCATTCCCATATGATTAAATATTGCCATGAAAAACACGAAACATATCAAGCCCTCCTACAGGTGGAAAAGGCATTTCTTTACAAATGAGGCCACTTAAAATAGCTGCAATCTGAATATGGTTGACACTTAAACACTACCATTATACTTCTTGCTATTTTGTTTTTCAAAGCATACTTGGATTTTATAAATTTCCAATTTGTGGGGAGGGATTAACAATATTAATCGTCATTCATGAATATTGATTATTATTGGATTTTGAAATATATTTTTTTTGCATTTTATATGTATTTTGCTAATAGAACAAAAATTAGGGTTTAAAAAGGGCAGATATACTTAAAATATTCCCAAAGGTGTTACATTTTTTGGAGTTTTTTTTTAATGATATAGGTTGTTTAAGAAAATGGGGTTTCACTAGCGCTTTCGGCTCTAAATTGGCTATCTTTTGTTGCAATAAAAGTGAATATCGTATTTAATTTTATTTACAGTGATGTCGTAAACAGCAATCTAAATCAGTCTGCTCGGAACAGCGTTGATAGCCCAAAAAGAGCTCTTTTTAGCAATTCCAAGTATTGCAAAATGTATTCAGCCATGCTGAAGTTATTTCCGTTCCCGAAAATGCTTTCAGCCTTATCTGTTTTACAACGGTGTCCATTTTAGCTATCTGTAATATAAGCTCATTTTTCAATAAACAGCGGTCATTTTAGAAACCTGGCAGCATTTTCCTTGGATGCTTTAGGTTTTAGGTTCAACGGGGGTAATAGTAAACGATTTGTGCAAGTCTGATATTTGTCAATTTCATCTGTAAATTATGACTCTAGTGTTCAAATAACTTTACTAAAATGCAGAATAATATTAAAAAAAATCGAAAACTCTTAAAAAAAATACAAAAATTATCTCTCAATGTTTACCTTTACCCCGGCCTCTCTGGGCCAAATGTAAACACATCACGAAACGGATTAAAGAAAATGCATTTTTTTGAAGTTTCAGAGGTGGATCAGGATGATTTTGAGGAATTTTGTTTTATCTACAAGAAATATTCCACAAGATTTGTATCCGGCAAATGATATTTGATTTTTTCTATTTTTACAAAGTCAGATTTTGAAAGCCTTCCTGTTCCCCTACCCATTTGATTTTTGCCAAAACTAAGAAAAAAAAATCCCATCATGTTTTTACTGTCCCAAAGACATATTTGTCTAATGGTTGTAACCTATTAGCCAAGCCACTTGGCAGTTTAATTAACGTAATTTTATTTTCAATGGCTGCTGCAATAATGCGAACACTTATGTGGTTTCAATGATCCTCATATAATAAAACAGCACCTTGATTGGAAAGGTTTTTTTCTTTCATTTCTTGACCAAGTGAACCAAGTGAAAAATTAAGGCTCCTCCATCCACCCATTCTTTGAAACCCTGTACAATGGTTCAGGATATGACCGCTCTGACGTCAATCTTGCTTGTATTCCAGAACCCTTGAAGACAATCAAAGGTGGTAAAAGGGAATCATCTGGTCCCACACATGCTAGCACAGTGGTAAATTCCCTACCTGATCCTCCTGAAACTCTACTTAATGGTTTGCCCTGTTCGTCTTCTGTGGTTCGTAAGCGAGTAGAGTCGCTTACGAAGGCTTTTTCTTCAGAAATAATGTCCAAGCCAATAAATAATAATATAAATAAAGACACTCCTTCTGTAAAATATCTAACTATACACCGATCTAGGTTCACTTTACCACGTGAATATTGTCCCACAGATCCGGGCCACTTCGAACATTTCCGGAATATATAGATAGAAGGTTTATTGACTACTTTACAATATCATTGTTTGTAGCAATTTAGAATATATTTTTTTAATTGAATATATGTAAGTATATGCTAACATAAAATTGTATATGACGTCATAATATACTGAATCTAAATATTCAATGTAACCAGACAACAAATAAAAAATAAATTTATAAGTATATGGCACAGAACAATCATTAAAATACAATCAATGCACAACGCTTCGCAACACGTCATTACCGATGTTTTCATCAAAAAATTCACCAACCCTATAATAACCCTTACTTAGAAGAAAACTTTTAATTTTATATTAAAAATGTTTTTGGTTTAAAAGTTTAAAAGATTGTGGCAATGCGTTATAAAGTTATAACTTATATACATACTTAAAGTATTAACATTATAAGTATTAACCAACCACGTTGCTTTAGTTTCAATATCTTGAGAATAGAACTGTTCCCACCAGAAACCCACCCTAGTAAAGTGTCTTCTCCAAACTTCTGGTTCTTTCGTCCCTGCATTACCATAGATGAGGAACGTACTTTGTGGTCAGACAAACAGGGATCGAACACACCTGCCGATCCATTAGGCATCTCCAAGTTAGTTATAATGTTATCAATACACGTTGAAGACCCAGACGTTAACCTAGTGCACTCCGAGATTATTACTGTCAAACCCAAAGAGCCGAGTTACAAAAGAAATGAACTGAGTCTTTGTGAATGAGTATTGAAATTTAGAGTAAAATCACCCAGTAGGACAATATTTTGCTGCTTTTCAAGTGCTTCACACAAAACGATATTACCGCACGGCTTGAATTTTAACGTTTAATATAATATAATATAATGTCAATATTGCCGATCATGTCAGTAAATGTATTCGGGTTGTTATTTACAAAACTTGCCATTCATCATGCTTCTTCAGAGCTTAATTAAAACTAGCTGGCATTTTACTCTGTATTTGTTTATATTATGTTTGAGGGGCGAGCTAAACATAAACATCGTTTCGGATGACTGATTCCCAGCCGCGGTTAAGATTGTTATATTGCTTATAGATTTTTACAGATTATTGGATTTTTCGTTGGTTTTAGTTTTATCGAATAACATTTTATGTCCGGTTTCGTGATTATGTTCGGCAACTGCTGAGGAGTTTATGTGTCTTAGTCTTCAGGCTCTTCATGTTCATTGAACCTAGTTGATATTTTTCGTCCGGTCTCTCCAATGTATTCTTTGCCGCATATGCATGGAATGCTGTAAA